TTCGTGCACAATGTAAGGCAAATTGGACGAAAATATATATGGGAGCTATACCTAAATTTTGACCGATTATCTCCAATTTCAATAGGGTTCGTCCTTGGGTCAAACAATTTATTTATGCAAAATTTCATCTGAATCGGGCAATAAATGCGACCTGTACTTTGTTTACAAAAATATATGGACAGACTGACGGACGGACATGCATAAATCGACTCAGAATGTGATTCTATGCAGATCATCAAAAGGAACTATGCGTCTATCTCGTTTCCTTTTGCCTGTTACAAACAAATGGACAAAGTTATAATACACCACATTGTGGTGTAGGGTATAAATGGCCCCATCATTGCTGTTATCGATTACATCTGAACCAATTTTTTATAACTCCATTATTTTATTGAACTCAATTTCAAAGTCTAAACGACGTCAATCGAACGCTGATAGTATTTAAGTACCCTATTTATCAAATAAATGTCCCTAAAATGAAAAATATCAAATTTTTTTCCAATTGAAGTTACAGCCATGTTCCATACAATTTTGAGTACCTCTTTCATATATTTTGGGTTCCCAGTAATAAAAAACAAAAATATTGATAAAAATCCTAATCATTGAAAATAGAACCCAACACACGCGCCCGCAAAACCTCTTCCAATATTTTTTTATAAACCTTTATCAATCATATATTTTCTAATGTTGGTGGACTAAATTCGTTTTATTCGATTTGTGGTGTTTTGGGTTTTTCGTCTTGTTCTTCTTCTGTCATTTCCAATATCAGACACCTGCATGGCGTTCATGTGTCTGGCTGTGTGTGTCTTTGTGTGAATTTTTGTCTATCTTTTATTAAGCAAAAGACCACAAATTATGACTTTCTTTAGATTATATTAAACATTTTCAAGTCAGTTGTAGACGGTGTTTTGTTAAAGAAAGGTTCGTTCGTTTCTTTTTCAAAAAAAAAAGACAATTTTTTTTTTCAAAGAAAGAAAAAAATTTCTTTGGCCAATGAATCATTTCATTTTTCGTTCGCACACTCAGCAAAAATCGTTTTAAATTGTTTCATTTAATCATAAATTTCAAGTGTTGTGATGTTGTGAAATTTATTTAAATAATCTGCCCCTTACCCCACCCACTCTGTGAAAGAAATCTAAATAATCTCCCCAAATCCGTTTTTAATGACTTTAGAACACTTGAGATTATCTTAATTGTGGCCATTTCAAGTCGTCGTCGAGAGTAATTCAAATTGTGTGAACTTATAAACAAGTCAATCTGTGATAGGTTTTTGAAACAAAAAATACTGGACAGTGGTGTGATGATGTGAAAATTCAAAAAAAAAAAAGTGAAGAAAATAAAGAAGCGAATTTAATTCTTACTTCCACCTTAATAATCCAATTTTTGAGCCCTCAAAAAAAAAATAAAGGCTATTTTGGACTTTTATATTTTGACAGTGTTTCGAATAAATTTTGTTAGAAAAAAATTTTTTTTTTATTAAAAGAATATTTTGTTGTTGCAAAATGTTCAGAATTAATGCCTTTATTGGGATTAACAACCCAACACTGTTCTAAAAAATATATACTGAAATCGATTACGACTATGCTTCAAAATTTTATAATATATTTTTTTGCCGTGATATGTTTATGTTTGTGGTGGCCATACCCCTTCAACCTAGGCGGAATTTCTAAAGAAGGATTGTGTGATAATAAAAATTCTAAACACGTGTAGTTCTTAAAATTAACCTTTAGCGGATATTTTGATTATTGAGATTTTTACCTCACTTTAAATTCCAAAATATTACTTTTTAATATTTCAAAAATAACAAAAATTCAAAAATGATGGTTAATGTATCGAAAAAATTAATATTTCAAAAATAACTACAATTGAAAAATGTTGAAAATGTGAAGAAGGTCGTCCGAAAATGTTATTTTTTGGACTTTCTACCCAATGATAATAAAAATTCCCAAATAAGTTTTATCTCCCGAAAGTGACTAACTAATGTCTTTAAAATATATCGGCAATTAATTTTGTTTTTATCAGTAAGTCCACATATCGATAACTTAGAGTTTTAGTAACCACGAAAAACTAGAAATTTCAAATCGAAAGGTGCAGCTGTACTAGAACTATTAATTTTGATACATTTTAAAAAGTGCGAACCAACAAGTTATAACTAAAAATTACAAAAAATAAATAAATAAAAAATCAACTCCTAATTAAAAACAGAAATATGGTAAAATTTCTTGAAAATCGCGAAAAACGTGTAAAAATTTGGAAATGGGGATCGATTTTTTCGGAAAGTTTTTAACTCGTCTGTAATACTAAATACCAGATAAATCTTCAAGATATAACATATATCGGTCTATAGAACTATAAAAAAATATGTAAGGAGGTTTCATTCCCTCTAAGAAACAGAAAAAATCCCAATTACGGAAAATTTAGACCTTTAAAATGACATAACGTAGACCATTCGGGTCCATCATAGAGATTCATCTGATCTGATTTGTGACTCAATCAATTTTGAATTTTACCCTAATCCTGAATATATTTTATAGGGTCAAAGATGATAAATTTTGAGAAATTACAAATGGAACGATGAAGTTAATATATCATGGTTGACATAACTTTGGAATAAAAAAATTAAAAAAATCTAAGTTCAGTCAGACCCAACTTTTAATAAATTTAATAAATTTCTTAAATTTGAAAAATTGACAAAAAAGACAAAATATGTCTATAAATGCCAAGGTCTTTATATTAAATATCAGAAGGTCCCAGTACCTGAGGGCAATATGAAAACCAGGAATATGTACATAATTATCTACCGCATGGAGGGGTACTCATTACGAGCCGCAAATATTAAATTAAAAAAATTAAAATATACTTAAAATCGTCCAATTAACGAATATCGGAAGGTACCGTTATACGGAGCCTATATGACAAGGTGGACCTGCATAGATAAATACTTTACAGAGACCTCGTACGAACTCCAAATACTAACTTAAAAAAAAAAATCCTTAGAAAAATGTGGAAAAGTACGGAATGAACCTTTCTACAGGCCCTGCATTAAAAGAATGGCTCATATGGAGGATTCTCTGTTGGAAAATGTAATTAAAATCATTTTCGGGGTTAATGGCAGCTATAACAAAACGTGGACTTATATGCTCCATGCTCAATACCAACAAGTAAAAAAGCTGCTTGTTTAGACCGGACCGAACTTTTAATACCCTCCACAATTTGGAAGGAACATGAAAATTGAAAATAAAATCCCTTCAAACAATACCGCTAAATTGAAAACCGATATATGAGGGCTATACGAGGACGTGGGCCTGCAAAAGTAATTTTTTGTCATAGGCTGTAGAACCAATTACGAACTTTAAATATGCAATTTTAAAAAATTCCAGACAATAATGTTTCTAAAATCATTAAAATACTGAATATTGGGAGGTTGCGCTATGTAGGGGCTATACGAAGACCTGCATATGCAAATTTTTGTAAGGCTGTGGTGCCCACTAATGTGAAACAATTCGAGCGAATAACGCCGCTAAAATCATAAAATACCAAATATTGAAAAGCACCGTTATATGGAGGCTATACGAAGACGTGGACCTGCATACGCAATTTTTTTGTCATAGGCTCTCGCAGCCATAACAAAGTTGAAATTCGAAATTTGAAGCAATTCCGGTAAATAGAAAATTGGGGGCACGTCATTTCATTCGAAAGATAACGAGATTACAAAAGACAGACTGACATCGCTACTTAGAATCTTATATCAAAATGTATATACTTTGTGGGGGCTATCAAGAGTATTTCGAGGAGTTACAAACGGAATGACAAAGTTAAAATGGTGGAGAATATAAAAATTCTGCTTCTTTATACATAAAATACATCTGCGTAAAATTTTATCAACTTTTCTAAATTTGTACGGAAGCTAACGTGGCTTCCATAGTAATGCGGTCATGGCTAAATTAATTTTAGAAGGATAGAATAAAGCAAAATGGGCAAATCTCTATTTTCCAGTTTTACTCGAATAATCTGGAGGTGACCATCCATCCGTCCGTCTGTCAGCCCGCGTTAACTCTCGATTTGGTACATTGTAATGTTATTGCCAAATTAAGATCGAGTTCGGAGATGGGCACAAAAGGTCGAAATTTTCCCAGAAGATAGATAATTTTAAGAATGCAACAAGAAAGGATCATCCAATCTCGTTCAAATTCCAACATTTAGCTCAGTGCTATGTTAGATGCGAAGAAACAAAGGGTCAACATTTTGAATAAATATAACTCTCCGATTCTCTTCAAATTTTACATATTCCAATATTGTTATCAACACAAGATCTGGTGTGATGGTAGGATACACTCCTTCGGGTACCTCCCCACAAAGGGTCAAAATTTTGAATATCCATGAAGCTCATAAAACTCGAAATTAACATCAGATTCAATAGTTCTATCAACACAAGATCTTTTATAAAAATGACGGAGATCGGATAATTCCTTTAGGTGTGAATGTAGGATATATCAACCCACTCCTTCTGGTACCACCCTCACAATTGGTCAAAATTCTGAATAATTATATATCTCAAAACATGCAAAAAAAACATCAGATTCTCTATCAAAAAAAGCCCCACTTCCACATCTTAAGCTATGTTGACCTAATATTCCAGCCACTTTAGCGTTAATATGTTGTTAGTTATGCATCGATCCCAAAATATTTTTCAGTAATGGCAAAAATGGGGTTTTAGACATGAAAACGAAATTCTTAATCACTGTGTTACATAGATATATTTAAACGGATATCAGTTTTGGCAATTATTTAAAGTCAATCCAAAAAAACCGGAAGATGTTCCAATTTTTATGAGTACCAGTTTACTATATTCCGATTTCTGGAAACCTTAATTTTTCCCAAAATTTTAATTACATTTTTTTGTAAAACATGACTTTAAAATCTTAAATAAATTAATCCAAATCGAAATGTGATACCATAATACTAATTCCCAATTTGTTTCTATTCTCCTCTCATTTCAGATACCACAGCTACAATTCTAAAACAGAAATCCAATTAGAACAACACCAACAACAAAGAGACCAACTTTGTTAATCTTATTTTTGTTTATTTTTCTTGGGGCTACTGTTTTTGTTGTAATTACGGATACAACAACAAGGGTAACCAGTAGCTTTTGCTGAACTACTTAGAAGTGCAACAACTACCAACCAACCAACCAACCAACAACAACAACACACACACACACAAATCACAATGGCCTTAGTAATGAAATATATAAACATCATGAACAGATATATGGACACACATGGCGGTAAGTGTTGAGAAGTTTTTTCAATCTCAAGAAAATTTTAGTTATTTCAAGTGATAGAGAAATTGAAATCACAAAGTTTTGAAAAAAATGTAAATTAACCAATAGCAAGTGGACTTTTAGAGGTTTTGAAAGGGATAGATTACTGTGTGTGAATATATATTCACATTTTAGCCTTTCCTTATAGTTAGAGTTGTGTCAATCTAGTTTCTCAGTTCAGTACACCAGTTCACAAAACGTATGAGTGATATTATACATTTCATATTGCTCATACGCATAGTATTCCCACAAACGACTGGAGTCCAAGGAACACACCTTTTTATACCCTCAGTCATATGGCTAGAGGGGGAATATATCATTTGATACGGCCAAATCGTGCCTCATCGAAACAACGGTTTTAGACCCTAGGTCTCTTTGGACCAAATTCATTTCAAGGTATTTGGAATTGATCTAGCCATGTCCGTCCGTCTATCTGTCTGATACTTTAGCACAATAACTCCCGACGGGACTATCCGATTTGATTCAAACTCGGTACCTCGTAATATTATTGCCAAACTTAGATCGAGTTCGGAGATGGACAATATCGGCTCACTCCTTCTGGTACCTCCCCCACAAAAAGTCGAAATTTAAAAAAAGAATATTTTACTGCACAGAAAGAAAACGGATAATCCGATTTTGCTTCAACTTTGCAAATTCAAATATATCCATCAGTGCTAGGTCAGTTGCAAAAATTGACAATATCGGTCCACTCCATCAAGTACCTCCCACTCAAAGGGTCAAAATTCTGAATAATTATAACTCTTATAAAATATGATGTAAGTGTCCGATTATCTTCATATTACACACATCACAATATTTTTTTTAACCCAATGTCTGGTTTGAAGATGGAATATATCAGTCCTCCCTTTCTGGTACCTCCCCCACAAAGGATCAAAATTTTGAATATTTATGAAGCTCATAAAACGCGAAATTAACATCCGATTCCATTCAGACTTGGCAAATCTTAATATTTTAATCGACACAAGGTCTGTTATAAAAATTGTAGAGATCGGACAATTTCTTTTGGTACATCCACCACAAAGGGTCAAAGTTTCGAATAACCAAAAAGAGCATAAAATGCAAAATAAGCAACCGATTCTCTTTAAATTTCACACATCCTATTATTTCTGCTAACACAAGATCTGCTGTGAAATTGGGATGTATCGGTTCACTCCTTCTGGTACCTCCCCCACAAAGGGTTAACATATGAATATCCATACGGCTTATAAAACGCGAAATTAACATCCGATTCCATTCAAACTTTGTACATCTCATTATTTCCATCACCACATGATGTGTTATAAAGATGGTAGAGGTCGGACCATACCTTCTGGTACCTCTCCCAAAAAGGGACCAAATTTTGAATAACCAAAACGTGCATAAAATAAATAAATAAGCATCCGATTCTTTTTAAATTTCACACATCCTATTATTTCTGCTTACACAAGATCTGCTGGGCTGTATCGGTTCATTCCTTCTGGTACCTCCCCCACAAAAGGTCAAAATTGTGAATATCTATGAAGCTCCTAAAACGCGAAATTAACATCTGATTCCATTCAGTCTTGACAAATCTTAATATTTCTATCAACACGAGATCTGTTTTTGAGATGGTAGAGATTGGGTCATTCCTTTTGGTACCTCCCCCATGATTTTCAAAAACAAAACCCTCAAAGATATCGAAATAATAAACATCGAACTCTCTTCAAATTTCACACTTTCCAACATTTTTGCTAACACAAGATCTGCTGTGAAGATGAAAAAGATGTGCGAACCCCTTCTGGTACCTCACCCACAAAGGGTCACAATCGTCAGCGATTCTTGCTATATTTAAATATTTCTCTCAACCACAAACCTGAGATGAGTATGGAATTTTTTAATTTCCATAAATTGGATATCCTCGAGTTACGACTGAAAAAGTTGTAATTCGTTCGATCGAACAAGTTTGCCACAACTCTACCCACAGCTATTTGTCTGGTTGTAAGTCAAATAATTTTGTTCCCAACCATTAATCCGGACATTTATTTAATCCAGAATATTTCATTCCATGAACGATACGAAATATGTATTCATAATTTTCGAATTATTTTTTTTCTGGGAACACATCGATGGGATAATTATGCATTTTTAATGAACTTCCTAGATTTCCAAAAAGCCAAAAAAAAATCCCCCCATTTTTATCAACAAAATTCTTTCTTCGCAAAAGCCACTTCTACGTGCCATCTGTGCTAATGAAGCACCCAACTATGTGGCCAACAACATCAGAAATATTCGAGCAAAAAACGAAGCACCACAATTCATAATAAAGCTCACTTACCTATGACCATAATCGAATTCATTCACAATGTCTGTTGACCTTGAAATGAGTTTCCAAGTTTTCTTGGCAACAACAATTTGCCGCAGACGAGGCTTTGGCGCAATGTTTACAAGACTTTGGAATATTTTGTGTAAATTTTAACACATCCCAACTAATTGATTGGCCCTCAAACAGAATTAAGTTTACACTCGGCTGTGACCAGAAGATTAGGCGTGTGCTCATTATTGGGTGGTGGTGGTGTAATTGAATACGGAGCGGAATCATGGGGAGTAGTTATTGGGTTGGCATTTTTTGTTACTTTTTAATCAAGTATCAAAGCAAACGTGTTCCATAGATTTAGTGTCCGTCCATTCGTCTGCCTGCCTATCTGTCAGCCTGTCTTGGCTTTGTCACGCCATAATTTGGCTAATGTACTTTAGCTCTGATACACCTTGTCACATTATGTCGTTTTGTTTTTGCTTTTCGCTTTCGTAAAAATTTTATGAATTCAGTCGATTTGTTCGGTCGTTAAAATTCAAAGCGGAAATTTGGGAATTTTTGAAATTATTATTTATAGAAAGAAATATGCGACTTTATCACCACATGTACGCCCTGTGTTGGGGTTTCGTTTCGTAATTTTATTCACGTTTTTTAATTAACAAAAAATAAAATTATTACACTGTGCGACAGAGTGAAGAGACCTTTGGACTTCAAACAAAAAATTAGAAAAATTTGTTTTTCAAATAAGGAAATATTTTGGAATTTTCTTGATTCCTTCCACGAGAAGAATTACTTCACCTCTTCTATGCAAAGAGTTACTTCAGTTCTTCCATGAGAAGATCTACTTCAGCTCTTCTAAGAAGAGCCACTTCAGCGTTTCTAGGAGAAAAGCTAATTCAGCTCTTCTGGGAGATGACTCACTTCAGCTCTTCTATTAGCAGAGCTACTTCAGCTCCTCCAGGAGAAGACCTACTCCAGCTCTTCTAGGAGAAGAGCTACCTCAGCTCTTCTAGGAGAAGAGCCATTTCAGCTCTTCTAGGAGAAAAGCCATTTCAGCTCTTCTATGAGAAGAGCCATTTCAGCTCTTCTATGAGAAGAGCCATTTCAGCTCTTCTCTGAGAAGACCTATAACTGCTCTTCTATGAGAAGAAGGCCTATAGCTCTTCTATGAGAAGAAAACCTATAGCTCTTCTTTGAGAAGAAGGCCTATAGCTCTTCTATGAGAAGAAGGCCTATAGCTCTTCTATGAGAAGAAGGCCTATAGCTCTTCTATGAGAAGAAGACCTATAGCTCTTCTATGAGAAGAAAACCTATAGCTCTTCTATGAGAAGAAGACCTATAGCTCTTCTATAAGAAGACCTATAGCTGCTCTTCTATGAGAAGACCTATAGCTGCTCTTCTATGAGAAGACCTATAGCTGCTCTTCTATGAGAAGACCTATAGCTGCTCTTCTATGAGAAGACCTATAGCTGCTCTTCTATGAGAAGACCTATAGCTGCTCTTCTATGAGAAGACCTATAGCTGCTCTTCTATGAGAAGACCTATAGCTGCTCTTCTATGAGAAGACCTATAGCTGCTCTTCTATGAGAAGACCTATAGCTGCTCTTCTATGAGAAGACCTATAGCTGCTCTTCTATGAGAAGACCTATAGCTGCTCTTCTATGAGAAGACCTATAGCTGCTCTTCTATGAGAAGACCTATAGCTGCTCTTCTATGAGAAGACCTATAGCTGCTCTTCTATGAGAAGACCTATAGCTGCTCTTCTATGAGAAGACCCATAGCTGCTCTTCTATGAAAAGACCTATAGCTGCTCTTCTATGAGAAGACCTATAGCTCTTCTATGAGAAGACCTATAGCTCTTCTATGAGAAGACCTATAGCTCTTCTATGAGAAGACCTATAGCTCTTCTATGAGAAGACCTATAGCTCTTCTATGAGAAGACCTAGAGAAGGTCTTCTCTTCTATGAGAAGACCTATAGCTCTTCTATGAGAAGACCTAGAGAAGGTCTTCTCTTCTATGAGAAGACCTATAGCTCTTCTATGAGAAGACCTATAGCTCTTCTATGAGAAGACCTTCAGCTCTTCTCCGAACACTCTCTTCCCTCCCCTCTTAAAAATTCCTTACATCTGCAATCTCCCCCACGATAAAGAGATTAAACGTTTTATTGTTTACACAATTAATTAGAAAAATAATCGAATTAACAAACGATAAATATTGAAATGCCTGGCAGTACAAAGTCCGTGATGTCTCGGCGTATTTAGCGTATTTGCATTTAATTTTTCTTGACTTGTGCGCTGATGACAGACACAGACAGACAGTTTGTCAGTTTTTTATTATTTTTTTTTTTTTTCTCAATGATGAGATGAGGAACTTTACATCAATTCCATCAATCATTTGTTGTCAGCTACTAGACGCACACACACATGCGCACACATGGGGTGTTGTTTGTAGCCAAGGATGTGTGGAATTGAATTAGAATTGAAAAGGAGAAGAAAAAAAGTAAATTAAATTAAAAACGATGATATATAGATGACAATCTATTTTACAGGCTTTGCTTATTATTTATTTATGTTGGCATTCGTTTAATATTCCATTCCATTTCAGATCCCAGAACGAAGGATTGGCCAATGATGTCATCACCATTTCCCACATTAGCTGTATGTCTCACATATGTCTATTTAGTCAAGGTAAGTGTTGAGAAGATAAATAAATACACACATACTCGCACGCACAGTGGGGATTATTTGTGGGAAAAGGACTAAGACGGGATATTTTCTTAGAAAAAAAACTTCGGATTTCCTTTGGGAAATTCTAACTAAAATTTAAAAAAAAAAGTGTTGGAAACTCTTTTGATTTGAATAATATAGGATCTCTTCATCATTTTATAAAATTTATTAAAAATACATGGTGAGATGAAAAAACTGCAACCAACTTCAGACTGCTGTCATTTCTAAACCACTCGTCCGACAGCTGTTTAAATTATCCCAGTGACAGCTCATTATATTGTTTACAAGCGTACAAAAACATTTTGGTGAGACTTTTTTAGGGAAAAAGTTATTCGTGATGGAATCCGAGAGTGATATTGTGATTTTTTTATATTTGTCTGAAAATTACAAGGGGCTATCGTTAGAGCACTCCAGCATTTAAATGTGAATAAATCGCTCGTTACCGTGATACTGCTAGCCATAGCGTAGCCCGACGTCAAGGAAGTGGACGGAGAAAAACAGCAACATCAGCAGAAATGGTTCAGTAAGGAAGCGACTTGATCGAAACCCGCGTCGCAGTGGCCGAAAAATGGCTCGTGTGCTGAACATATCGCAATATTCCATTCCGCAAATATTGCAAAATGAGCTCGGGGTAAAGTCATTGTAATTCCAAAAAGTGCAAGAACTTACACCGCAACAGAAAGAAAATAGACTCAAAAGAGCTAAAGAGTTGCTTCGCTTGTCCGTGGCATCAGAATAAATGCCGAATATTATCGCGACAATATTCTGGAGGGTGTATTAAAGCTTTGGGCACATTTTGGCCGCAGACCTTGGACATTCCAACAGGATTCATCACCATCGCACTCAACACGCGCCAGTTAAGGATGGTTACAAAATGAGGTTCCTCACCTCATTACCAGCTCATAATGGCCACCAAAATCTCTCACTCAGCCCGCGCCAACCAAGAATGGTAACAAAATGAGGTTCCTCGCTTCATTTCCAGCGCACAATGGCCACCAAAATCTCCGGATACCAATCCGTTGGCCTATTGTGTCTGAAGTATTTTGGAAAGCAAGATTGACACTAAAAAGTACCCCAGTGTGTCGATCACCCCAAGTAAGCGCTTCGCCGAGAATGCGCCAAAATGCCGCAGAGCGACATTCGGGCAGCGTATGACGGTTTTATTGGCCTTTGAAGGCCATAAGTCCTGCCAAAGGTGACCAATTCGAACAAATCAAAACTTACTCTAAAATTTGATGTTATTTCCGACATTTTTATACCCTACACCACAAGGTGGTCAGGGTATTATGTCTTTGTGCATTTGTTTGCAATAGGCAAAAGGAAATGAGATAGACCCATGTTTCCTTTTGATGACCTGCATATAATCACATTCTGAGTCGATTTATACATGCCCGTCCGTCCGTCCGTCTGTCCATGTATTTTTGTAAACAAAGTACAGTTCGCAGTTATTGCCTATCCAGATGAAATTTTGCACAAATCATTTGTTTGGCCCAAGGACGAACGCAATTGAAATTGGAGATAATCAGTCAAAATTTAGATACAGCTTCCATATATATCTTCGTCCGATTTGCCTTTTATTGTGCACCAAACGTGTAATATCAATCCGAATAGTATGGAATTTTGCACGTTCGGTCAGATTGGACCTCAAAATAAGTATGCCAAATTTAATCGAAATCGGTTAAGATATAGCTATAGCTCCCACATATATTGTTCATCCGATTTGTTATTTTTGTCCTCCGCAGCCGTAATATGCACTCTGTAACAACAATATTTGGGGAAATATATCACATACAGCTCAGAAATACATTTACTAAATTTTATCGAGATCGGATCAGATTTGGATATAGCTCCCATATATAACTTCGTCCGATTTACTTTTGATTGTGCACCAAACGTCTAATATTTGCCCAAATTGGATGAAATTTTGCACTTACGACCGAATTGAGTCTAGAAGCTAGTATGTCAAATTTGGTGAAGATCGGTTCAGATATAGCTATAGCTCCCATATATACTGTTCATCCGATTTGTCATATTTGTTACCCACATCCTTAATATGCACTCCGTAACAACGATATTCAGGGAAATATATCAAATACAGCTCAGAAATATCTTTGCCAAATTTTATCGTAATCGGTTCCGATTTGGATCCGATTTCAAATTAATTGTGCACCAAATAGGCAATACAAGTCCGAATTTAAAAAATACAAATGTTTCGACATATTTAGTCCATTGAACTTTAAATTATAATTATAATCATAGCGTGTATGATTGAATTCTCCCATAAAAACTTTTAATTGTTATGCGGAGCTCTACTAAATTAGCAAAGTGGTGTAGGGTATCATAAAGTCGGCCCCGCCCGACTTTAAGACTTTCTTTACTGGTTTGCCTTCATTCAATAAAATTTAAAACAAAAATTTAAAATTTATGGCTTTTAATTTTGTTACAGTTTTTTTATCTCACCTTGTTTTTGATATCCTTCAAAGGAAATTCTAATAATTTAACGACTAAAATAGTAGGAAAGCACCTAGGGAGCCGTTGTAAAACTTAAAAATTTTCAAAAAAATAATAATGGTACAAAACCATAACGAAATAATGAAACAAATGATCATGAATTTTAAGATTTAAAGAAAACCATAACCATAGCCATAACGAAATAATGAAATTATACATTTTAAGATTTTTTTTTTTTTTTTTTGGAAAAATATTTCTTATCATTTTTTAAATAATTTTCAAAAAAAAAATTATTACTCCCACTGTTCCAAGTCCAAATCTTAATCATGGGGGAATGTTAAAAAAAAACATTTTTTTATTATTCCCACTGTTCCATGTCGAAATCTTAATCATGTAGGAATGTCTGACTTCCTTATCCATTTCCCATTTATTATTGTTGTTGTATTTTTTTTTTTTTTTTTTTCAAATATATATTCATATGTCAAAAAATAAGAAATTGAAAATATTCACGTGCCAATGACATGTTACCTATCCTTACCCCTTGTAATTAATTGTTGTTTTCCTATTCTCTTTTCTTTCTCTCTTTCCACATCTCTTTTTTTTTAACTTTCCCTAAATTGTAGGTTTTAGGTCCACGATGGATGGAAAATCGCAAGCCATTCCGTTTACAAAACACATTAATTATCTACAATGCAGCACAGGTGATATTTAGTGCGTGGATATTCTATGAGGTAAGTTGGGCATGATCCATGACCGTTTTGATGGCACCTCACGACAGGTGTGTAGGTGTGTTTGTGTCGGTCGTATGGGTGTATCGTTACAGCCGAGGAAGAAGAGAACAATTATCAAGGACTTGAGTCCCCGCCAACGAGAATTGGGGACCACGGAACGCCGCGTACATCTTTCTAGTAGGCTTCTGCAAGAGTGTGCCAGTGTTAGCTTCAAACCAAGACCATTTGTTGCACAACCAACCAACCAACCACAACCATCATCACAAGCAATTTTCCCATCATCTGTCATTTGTTTGAATGCCTAAAGGTTTCGTGTTTGAAGCTTTTGTTCGTTTTGTTTTGTTTTCTTTCTATGCACCTGTTCTGTTTTCTGTTTTGTTTTCTTATTTAGTGTTTTTTTTTCTGTTGTGCCGTTCTTTCTACTAAGTTTAAGTTTGACATGTTCTTTTGTAGTGTTTAATGGGCGGCTGGTGGGGTCATTACAACTTTAATTGCCAACCGGTGGAATATGCCGATACCCCACGTGTCAATCGAGTAAGTTGGTGTCAAACATCGTCAAACAAAAAAGAGTCTCGACCAATTCATCGAAACAAAAATTGGGTTATCAAAAAAAACAAAAAAAAAAAAAAAATAGAAAATTCCAAAAGAAGTTATATTTTTCTTTAGCACTCTCGAAACAAGTAACTATCACGCTGGCATAACCATTTCTAAATAAAAAAAATGTAATTTAAAACGTTCATCTCTGGCTTGTCACAGCGTAAGCGGCGGATTAATGCCTTTCATCACATGTGCTATTAGTCTCCCATACTCTTCAAAATTATATCATGAAGAGCCTGGCATTTAGATCTTCGTTTTTTTTTTCTTTGCCAATAACTACTTCCATGTTGCTTTCTTTAAATTGGGGTTTACATACATACATACTTTATTTATTCTGCGTTCCTAGCAAATGCCTATAATTGTTTTTTATTTTTGCTTTCATAAAATTTATAAATTGTAGTAGCTTTGTTTTCTTTTTTTCCTTTTTATGTGTTTTATTTATTGTTTTATTTTGGATCCAAAAACACACACACACACCCAAATTTATACATAAAAACACGCCCACACACATACATACAACATTACACATCTATACAAACACACATACACATATGAAATCTTCCTTATTTATTTATTGCTTTTACGTCGTCCAAAAAATGAGATTGCTGAACAAAAATTGTAAATACAAAACAAGCCAGCAAAGCTCCTTCATTCATGCCTAAATGTAAGCTGAGTAGTAAGTAGTTGAGTAAGTAGTTAATTGTATACGTTTATGATTATTAACATTTTGTTGTATATTGTTGCACAGTGGTTTGAAAGAGAAAAAATGTGGATTTGTTTCAAATCGCCTGATATTAGACGAAAATCGCCGAATCTCCGGGGTCATAGTGAGTTTTCACATTATATTATTTATATTCTATTATCGTATAAGAAATATCTCTAAAAGTAAAAGTAATTCCAAAAAAACCACCTACAAAAAAATATCATTCACTTTGCCATTATTCGAATGGTTGACATATAGATGTCACTCTTGAAGAGTTTTTGACAAATATTTTATTGCATAAAAAAGGGAACAAGAGTATATCTAATATCATATATATCAACCATCCAAAAGCAATAACCCAGCCCCAATCTGGACCACAGAACATTGTATGACTTACGTAAATCCTAAATTGAAATTCATCCTGAAAGTATGCATCAATTTTAATTGAAAACTTTGGTTGTATTTTACACAACATATTTTGGGCGCCATCTAGATATTGACTATTTATCTGCAAAATATGTGCTTAAAAGCCTACTTTTAGGCAATTGAAACGGTGATTTTTAACTGTTGCTATACAGAAATTGAAAAAATTTTATATAAAATGTTGAATATATAAATATTTCAATTTTTTTGTCAATGGAAGATGAGCTCAATAGGCCAACATTTTGGTTTGACATCCTAGTTCATACCTTTTGAATATAGGAAAAACATAAATATCCGAAAGGACAAAAATACTGTGGAATTTGGGTAAAAGTGAAAGTCCTACCTCATAATTTCGTTTCAAAAGTTCGTGTTAAGCGTTTTTAGCACTCAAAATGTGCAATTAGTTCAGTTTGACAATATTTTTTTAATCAAAACTGATTATGCATTGAAACTAAAGCTGATCTCGATATTAAATTTCCGGATTTCAGCTCTATTCCTTCACTCAATACTAAATTTAATAACATTTAGTACGCATATAAAAAAATGTGAGACTCTTAATCCCAGTTCACATTTTCAAAACCACCGCCATATCTCAATCACAGATACCAACAGAGACCTTATTGTCAATTTGAATAATATAGCCCTATCCCTTCCCGCAATACAAAATTTGGTACCATTTATTACTTTTCGTACAACTATCAGACGCATTTTCAACGAGCGAGTTTTTGGAGTTTCCCCCAAAATTGGAACTCCGAAAACTCGCGACCTGAGCGCCATCTTAAAATCGATATTGGTGAAAGATGATTTTTTTAGAAAGGTTAAAGACTGGTATATTTAAAAAGTACAAACATTTTTAAAAAGTTTTCTGAAATATGATATAAAAACTGATATACATACATCGGCCTTTAACAAAGCTCGGACAAACCTAATTTATTCCGATATATAGATATCATTCAAAGACAGGTAATTCAATTTTCTGGCCTGGAACGTCACATAATATTTTAATTGTTCAATATTACCATAGGTCTGTTGTTCTGACCCATAATTTCAAGAGACCTATTCTATGAAGGTCGCGAGTTTTTGGAAACAGAAAAGGTCCAGAATAATGAGCGCCATCTTAAAATCGATATTGGGAGGAAAGATAATTAACTCAGAAATACAAGTAGTTGAGTATACTTTCAGGCGGGTTAAAGATTATCCTCATGTAAAATACATAACTTTTCCGAAAGTTTTCTAAAATCCAATATATATTAAACAAGTTGGAAAGCAGCTAAGTTCTGACGTGCCGAACTTTTATACCCTCCACCATTCGAAAGAAACTTGAAAAATTTCAAAAAAAATCTGTCGAAAAATAGTTCTTAAATAAAAACCTTTATATGGGGGCTATACGAAGACTTGGTGCTGGATAAGTAATTTTTTGTAATAGGCTGTCAAATACGAAATTCGATATAATGTCGCTAATATCATCAAAATACCGAATATCGGGAGGTACAGTTATATGGGGGATATACGATATAGTGGACGTATATAGACAATTCTCTTTTAGCGGCGAAGTACTCAGAAGTAACTCCTTGTGTAGATTTTAAGCTAATTCCATTGAAAAATGTGGCTAAAATCATCAAAATACCCAATATCGTGACCGATATTTTCGAACTTGACATGTTGCAGACAAAAGACAGATCGGTACAAAATTTTAGTTTCCTATCTTTATTTGTTTTGATTCTAGCGTGATTACAGCAGACGGTCTAAAATTATTAATTCGATGAGTTACAAACGGAATAACGAACTTAATATCTCCTCCATACTATGTATGGTGGAGGGTATAAAAACATGAATATATGACAAAAAAGACGAATGGGCGCCATCTAGATGTCAATATTGGCATCTAGATGATAAACATACTTTCAGGCGGTAAATAATACAACAGGATTTAAAAAGGGATTAGTGAAATAAGAAAAAAATTAATATTTAAGAATAAAAGGTGGAAGATTTGAAATTTAATTTAATTAAAGAAATTCGATTATTTTTCAAACACTGTGCAACAATAAAAAAACAACATACATTCATCGTAGCAATTATTGAAAATTAATACCATTTCACGAAATGTAAGGCTATAAAACGTTTTCCATAGCAAACTGTCTTACATTTGAAGAATTGAGCCATTGGTAACATAATTAAATTGTGTAAGTTTACAATTTTTATTATTATTGTTTTTGTTGGTTATGTGTAGTTATTTAAATGTTTACTTCAATGCAATTGGATGCACCGGCATCATCGTCCATAGACCATTCACAAGACAATGGTTGTCGAATTTGTGTTGTATGTTTTATTTTCGTTTTTTTTATTTATTTGTTTGGTTTATAGTTTGCTTTTTTTTGTTGTATTCATGGTATCACAAGTTAACATTTTTTTCAAAAGTACAAGAACAACATCAAACGAAATTTAAATTATTTTTCAAAAATTTCAAAAAAAGAGAAACAAAATTTGTAGAAGCATACAAGAGAGAAATATTTTTTTTTTTTTTTTTTTTCAATTATTTGGTATTTAAACGTTTCGGATGTTCAACAACGATAATGACACACACACGTACATACATACACAAATAAAAACAAACAAAATAACTTTCTTCCAGCCAAGTCCAACGAACTATGTAAGACTCAATCTAATACCTATGCGAACACACTCAGCAGCGTACATCCACCGACCGTTGTAATCAATGCTTTAATGCTCCTCCTCTCCTCCTACTCTCATAACGCCATTTGACATTTGAAGTTCATACGAAAAATTTTTGTTGTATTTCAGATTGGTATTTCCGGTTGGCTGACAGGACACTATAGCTTCCGATGTCAGCCGGTTGAGTATAATAGTAACCCTAGAACGATAAGGGTATGTGTTAACCATCAAAATCAAAATTCTATTCCAAAAAACAACACCAAATGCATAGCATTTCGAAATTTTTCCATTTAACACATATAGTAAATAACCTCTGCATGCCCTTCTCTGACTCTCTCTCACGGGAAGACTCTTTTTCTGGAGTTTTCTTAGATCATTTCTCACAAACTCTCTCTCTACCTTTAAATCTCTCTCTCTCTATCTCTTCTGTTCTTTTGTTTGATTTAAATCTCGCTCCAAAACAAGGAAAATGGTTTAAAATTATTTTATTTTTATTATTATTATTATTTTATAAAAAAAGTAGTATTATATTATTTAAATAAATATTTGTAAAAAACAAAACCATTTTCCTTGCTGTCTCTTAAATTTGCAGCTTTAAGCCTCGCCTCCTTTGTTGCAAGCTTAAAACATGTGAACTCCGTTTGTTCTTTATTTTTATGAATTTCTTAATTTTCATTTTTTGCCTTTCTCTTTTATTTTTATTATTTAAGAACCATATCCAAATAGAAGATAATTTTGTAACTAATAATTGGTGGTGTTTAATTTTTTTGCTTTCTTTTAACAAAATAAAAATATGTTTTATATTTTTTTCTTTTTCGAGAGAGCTATTCCAGTTTTTTTTTTTCAAAAATAAAGTTATTACCAATAATTATGAACTTTTGAGACATTTAATTAATATTTTGATTTTATGTACAAGAGATCATTAATGTTTATTGTTAATAAATTTTGTTCCCCTTTTAAATGAAATTTTATGTTGAAACCCCCCCACAAAACAAAAATGTTTTGATTGCATGACATGACATTTTTATATTTTTAGCTGCCCATGGAAGTGTAAGTAATATATCTGCAATTTAAAAAAAATAAAAAATAAATATAAAAAAATAAATTATTATTAAATTTTACAGATCGAAATCAAATGTCCTACAAATAATAACTTTGAACTAATTTTTTAAAAACTTTTATCTACCAAGTATCCATGCTATTAGAGATGTAAATCCATCGCTGGAACTATTGATGTTATCGATGGTTTTTGGAACCGAATGACAAAGAACATAAAAATAGGTCTGTCTGGCTACTTTTCCTACAAGAATTGTCTAGCAACTTTTTTCTCAGAGAGAAAGATATCTTATTTCTCTTTTGCATGACAACTGCAGATCATCACTTGTTTGGCCAAAAAAATAATAACAATTTATACGCCATCAAAAACAATTCATCATTTTATTAACAACCTAACCAGTGTCCGCTAATTCCTTAGTGAAAAGTCCACCTTAAAATTTTAGATTCGTTCCGACAGTTCGTGTTCGGCCATTTTAGAACTCAAAATGCACTATTTGTTCAGTTTGACAAAATGTTTTAATCAAAACTTCATGTATCGTCCTTTCTACATTTCAATTCCGGGTATCAACAGAGACCTCAATGTCAAATTTGAGAATTCCAGCTCTATCCCTTTACCTAATACCAAATTTTGTACCATTTAGTATTTTTAGTAAAAATATAGGACGCATTTCCAAAACCAACTCCATTTCTTAGGCGCGGACACCAACAGTGACTTCTATATCAAAACTCAGGATTTCAGTTTTTTTTCTTCTTTACTTAATACCAATACAATTATAGTACACATTTCCAAAATAACCTCTATATCTTAACTACAGACACCAACAGTTGACATCTATATCAAATTTAAAAATTTAGCCTAATTCCTTCACCCAATACCAAATTTAGTACCATTTAGTACTTTTCGTACAATTGTAGTACACATTTCCAAGAAAACCACTATGTCTTAACCACAGACACAAGAAGTGACTTCAATATCAAATTTCAGAAATTTTATTTAATTCCTTCACCCAATACCAAATTTAGTACTTTTCGTACAATTATGGTACACACTCCCAAAGTCACCTCCATATCTCAATTCCAGATAGAAATAGAGACCTCAATTTCTAGTTTGAGAATGCCAGCCCTATCCGTTCACCTAATGCCAAATTTGGTACCATTTAGTACTTTTCGTACAGTTATAGTATACATTTCCAAAACATCCTCTATATGTCAGCCACAGACACAAACAGTGATTTCAATATTAAATTTCGGAATTTCATTGATCCAAATTTCCAAAATTAGTTCCATTTAGTCCATTGCGGACAATTGAAGTATGCATATCAAAACCCACTTAATATCTCCATCCTACACAGCAAAATTCAGAAATCTAACTCTATCCGTACAATCAATACTAAATTTTGTCCCATTTATCACCTTTTACACTCTTGTGGTACTTATTTCCAAAAATATTTCCAAATTTCAGGAATTCAGCTCTATAGGTTGACCCAATACCAATTTGTACCAAATTTAGTACCATTTAGTACACATAAGTTCGAATTTCCAAAAGTTCCTCAAAATCTTATTCAAAATCTTATTTCAAAATTTGGACATTCCAGCTTTACTGGTTTATCCAAATCCAAATTGTACCAAATTTAGTACATTTTAGTACATATATGTAAAATTTTTCAAAACTACATCCATATCCCTATAATACACCCCAAAAGTAATCTTATTTGCAAATTTCAGAATACCAGCTATATTGGCTCACCAAATTCCAAATTGTACTAAATTTCGAAATTGTACTTTTCGTCCACATAAGTTCAAATTTCAAAAACTACCTGTATATCTCAATCCTACACTCCGCCAGTACTTTTAATTTCAAATTCAATTTTCAGCTCCATCCGTTCCTCAAAATTCAAATTGTACCAATTCCAGTATTAAGGATAGTACTTTTCGTATACATGAGTACGCACTTCCAAAAGTACATCGACCCTACTTCTTAACCTTGCTTGTCATTTCAAGTTTTTATCTCTAACTGTTTACATGATACGAAATGGTACTAAATGTAGCACATTTTAGTACTCATTCCAAATTTAAGAGTTCTAGCTCTACAGGTTCGTCAAAGGCAAATGGTACCATATTTGTACTTTTCGTAGCGTTCTATTACGAATTTCCATTTTAGATACTTTTTCTCAAAATAAAGGTGGGAATACATAAAGCGCTTATTTGGTTGGCTTCTTCGTAGAGGAAGAAAGGTTTAGGTTGACTAAATGCAATTTTAGCCTTTGGCTCCTTTGTTCATTTTTGAAGAAGCCAGCCGATGTACGTCATCCGAATAAGCCAGCGAAATAAGCCTATATGTATTCCCACCTTAAGAATTAAATTCGAGATTTCAAAACTGACAAGTTGCACACGACTTTATTAATGGATTATCAAAAACAGCTGATCGATTGTTGCAGAGAGAAGGAGAGTTGCAAGTGATCGCAAGATGAAATTTGCCTGGTAATAATTTGCAAACTTGCTGTCAAAATGTCTCTCTTGAATCACTCTCTTCTCTAGAATTTTTGTGCTAACAGACGATTTCAATTAAAAAAAGGTGTTAAGTTCTTTTTTTTTTTTTTTTGAATAACCAGACAGACCTAATACTTTAAACGTATATATATTAAATTTAAATATTTAAAAATTGCAGATATATTATTTTTCATTTCAGCAGCTAGCAAAATATAAAACAATTTACATTACATAGTTATTAATTTTATATTCTCTTTTTAATTTTTTTCTTCAAAATTTAACAACAGATGGTCCATGCTTGTTGGTGGTATTATTTCTCCAAATTCACAGAGTTCATGGATACGGTAAGTTGAACTACAGAAACGAAAATAATATTTAATTCCATAAAATCATATTAAAAAATATTCTCTTGCCCAGATATTCTTTGTGTTGCGCAAAAAGGAAAGTCAAATCACCACTCTGCACGTCATTCATCACGGCTGTATGCCCATGTCTGTGTGGTTCGGCGTTAAATTCACCCCCGGCGGCCACAGTACCTTCTTCGGTTTGCTCAATACCTTCGTACACATTATTATGTACACCTACTATATGTTCTCGGCCATGGGTCCACAATTCCAGAAATATTTGTGGTGGAAGAAATATTTGACAACTTTGCAAATGGTAAGTATTGAGAATTGTTTTAAAAGATTTGTTTTAATATTTTTCTCCGTCTCCATTTCAGGTGCAATTCATTTTGATCATGGTCCATGCCTTCCAATTGCTGTTCATCGAATGTAATTACCCCAAGGCCTTTGTTTGGTGGATTGGCATGCATGCCGTTATGTTCTTCTTCTTGTTCAACGAATTCTACAAACAGGCCTACAAGGGTCGCAAATCGGTAGGTTTTTGTTTCTTCTTGTTATGAGAAGAAATTTATTGTATTATGCGTATTAATAACTAGGTATATTTTTTTAGAAGCGAACAAGATTATAATGAAGGGATTTGGAGAATGGAAGTTCAGTATGTGCTGTGTAAAAATTGTAATGAAAACTCATTTTTGATGACAATGATACTTACAATGATTATTGGTCGCATTGATCTTCCATTCTATGCTCTTAAATATTAATTTTATACAAAAATTTTAAAAATTATTCTCTTCGAGCTTGAGGTCAATATAGTTTTTATACCATCCACCACATATAGTATGGAGGGTATATTAGGTCCGTCATTCCGTTTGTAACTCATTGAAATAATAATTTTAGACCCATCAAAGTATATACATTCTTGATTAGCGTAAAATTCTAAGACGATGTAGCACTGTCCATCCGTCTGTTGTAATCACGCTCTAGTCAAAAGAAATAAAGATAGAAGGCTAAATTTTTTGCACCGATCTGTCTTTTGTCTGTAGACAGGTCAAAGTTCGCAGATGGTATATACATCGGTCCACGATATCGTATAGCCCCCATATAAAGGTACCCCGTTATTGGGTATTTTAATGATTTTAACCACATTTTCAATGGAATAGCCTGAAAATCAACACAAGGAGTTCATTCTAAATACTTCAAGTTCACGATATCGTATATCCCCCATATAACTGTATCTCCCAGTATTCGGTAATTGGTTGATTTTAGCCACATTTATTAATGGAATTATCTGAAATTCTACACAAGGAGTTCTTTGTTTGTACTTTACCTTCTGGAAGAGAACTGTCTATAAGTCCACGATATCATATAGCCCCCATACAATTGTGACCCCCTCCCCCACCCGAAATTCGGTATTTGGATGATTTCAGCCACACTTTTCAATGGAATAGTCTAAAAATCCACACAAGGAGTACCCCCTGAAAGGGAATTGTCTGTGTAGGTCTACGTTTTAGTATAAACCCCATATAACGCTACCCTGAGATATTCGGAATTTCCAGGATTTCCGCGACATTATTAACCGGAATTGCGTCAAATTTCGTATTTGAAGTTCGTAATGGGTACTACAACCTATGACAGAAAATTGTCTATACAAGTCTACGTCTTAGTATAGCCCCCACACAACAGCACCTCTCTTTTTTCGTTATTTTCATGATATTATTCATCGGAATTGTATCAAATTTCGTATTTGAAGTTCGGAATCGTTGATACATCGTCAGTGTTGATCTACAAAAATATTAAAACTGTAAATCACTCCTGAAGGTATGTTGACCTCAAGCTCAAAAAAGTTCTACTTACGCTCTGTTCTAAAATCTGCAGGAATCTACTAGTTTTGCAATTTTTTTCCGATATTGAAAAGGAAAATCGGTTATCGTTGTAAAAACTTTTACATTCTTGTAATTCTGGATTAATTTCTTAATTTCCATTAATTTCTATGTCCCAGAATGTAAAAGAATAAAAAACTTTTTTCTACGATAAATCGCTTATCATTTTTGAAATCGAAATAAAAATGCAAAACTAGAATATTCATGAACAGAGCTAATATATTGAAATTATTTTATGCTCTGTTCCAGAACATTCAAGGATTTACTAGCTAAGAAATTATTTGTTTTAGAAATAGTTTTATAACTAACATATCTTTCTCATAATATCTAGTTTTGAAAACTAACATTTTTCTCATAAAATCTATTAAATATTTGAAAATTAATTGAAATTTCCCTTATGTAGTTTCTTATAATCTTGTTCGCTGTATCATTAGCATTAGTATTATTACATCATTTAGATATATTTGCATTATTAGTGATTCAAAAACAAATCTAAACAAAAATTAATTGCAAAATTAAGACATTGCACATTCAATACATTGCACCTGGTTGGGGAAAACAAAGTTTATTTTTGTTGTAATTTCTAACATCAAATAGCATTAACTAGTATAACTCTTTGTTGCAATGGCATTAACTCGCGTATAACAGTTAATGGCACCGAGGATAATTTTTAATGTGTCCCAAAATTGGCACGAAATAACAGCTAAATTTTAAAAATTGCTTCAAAATAATGGGCCGGAAGTTAACATTAAAAATCACCATCTGATGCAGATTATAATTTAAAAGAAATTAAGAAGTTATTCTAAACAATAGCGGGGGTTTCTGGTAAAAAATTCTAGCTAGTTTTAGTTCACTATTTTAGCGGTGAATTTTTTAAACACTCTGGGGCTTAAAAAATAATTCACCATGGAATGTCGTTAATTTTTCCGTGGATGTCCATACTTCCAAGTGTATGCTCTTTCAAAATGCCTTATTTTTCCCTTTTTTGTAAGATCAAGCTGGTCAGGTCGGGTATACAGAAAAGACTTCCTATGTAGTGTAACCTCGAAAGGCATATCCAATTCCCAAACGAATTTAATGTAGGTTGGCATTTTGGGTTGTCTTTGGATAAAAATTTGCCTTCTAAAATTTTTCAACTTTTTGTCAAAAGCTCTTCTCGTATTTAGCTGTACCGGCCGTCTGGAGGAAATTTAAAGTCACATTTCCCAACTGAAATATCTGTACCCTTATATTTTGGTCTTATTGTAAAACATCGGTAACTTTCAAACGCAAAATTTTAATATAAAAAATAAATAAAAGTTGACAACATTGCTATCTATCGTTAGACCGTACCGACTACTTTAATATCGTCGCTAACCTATCGATAAAATTCGTTAATTACCGAAATTATAAGCACTTGAAATTTACCGATTTTTTCGGTTACTCAGAAAATGAGGTACAGAATTCCACCACTGGTTTCAGGTTTTGGGCTGTTCCCCAGTAGTTACGATTTTGAAATTCAAACAATTTTCAAAATTTAAGACCAACAAACCGAACCAACTCAACGCCGTCTTTATACCCTACACCATATCCTTCCGTATGTAACTCCTCGAAATACTCCTGTCACCCCCAACAAAGTATATATATTCTTCTTGATCGATATATCCGATATATCACATATTCACCCCAGACCTTGGGTTAATACAAATATGTATGTAATTTGAAGAGAACCGGATGCTTATTTCGGATTTATGATTGTTTTGGGTATTCAAATGTTGACCCTTTATGGGGGAGCTACCAGAAGGAATAGGCCGATTTCTACAATCTTTAATAACATATCTTTCGTTGATGGAAATATTGAGATGTAACAAGTCTGAATGGAATCAGATGTTAATTACCCGTTTTATGAGGGGGTACTAGAAGAGGTGTAGCGCACCTGACCTTGGACTAATAAAAATATTGTGATCTGTGAAATTTGAGGACATTCGGACTCTTATTTCACATTTTATAAGAGTTATAACTTAAAATGTTTCTGGAGGACCGATATTGTCCATTTTCGCCTCTGCCCTAAGACTTATGCAAATATTAGGATTTGCAAAGTTGAAGCAAAATCGGATTATGTTTTCTCTTTCTGTGCAGTAAATTATTTTCTTTGAAAATTTCGACCTTTTGTGGAGGAGGTACCAGAAGGAGTGAAGCTAGATTGCCCATCTTCGAACTCGATCTAAGTTTGACAATAATATTACGATGTACCATGTTTGGATCAAATCGCATACTCTCTTCGAGAGTTATCGTGCCAACCAGACAGACATACGGACATCCCTAGATCCACTCCAAATGTCCTGAAAAGGATTTTGCCCAAAGAGACATAGGGTCACAATTCGTTATTTCGATTAAGCACGTTTTGGTATGAACCCTCCCTAGCCATATGCCTGAGGGTATAATAAATAAATACATCATTATGAAATTATATCGAAATCCAGTGTATTGGTAGATGATATGTACATGTAGTTGTTGTTTGAAAAAATATTCACTAATTCATTAAAAGTCCATAAATTAGATTGATGTTCATTCGAAAGGCTTTTCATAATTTGCCATAACGTTGTAAACATAAAACATTTATTTGATACCCATCGTAGAGCCATAAAAAAAATCGAAACTATTTTCTAATATTTTTCCCCTCACGTTGTTATCACACGAATGGTGGTGTCGTCACTCACTTTTTGGCCCAAATGCCATGGCAGCAGCAGTTGAGTTTCAAATTTGGATAAAAATTTCATTGACATTGATTTTGTTGTGGTATGTGTCGACATATAAATATTTTGTCGTACCTACAAACGCTGGCCCAGCCATCGGCCATGGCAACATCTAACAGTACATACAACAAGCACAACAACAATAGCAAACACATAACAATGTCACCATTGTGTGTGTTTTTTTCTTGCTGCGGTACTATTGGCCCATTCCGCCAGTCATGAATGGAACGCCAGTTACTAAAAATAACCCCATTCAAAATACAATATCTTCCAAAAACAAAAACAAAAAAAATACAAAATTCAATTCAATACAACTCCAAGCAAATCAAATGTTTGCTTTCATTTCGAATTATTTTTCGTTTCGCTTTACCAGTGTTAAGAGAGCCACACGACACGTTGATTTTAAAGTGAAATATGGGTCTTTGGGTCTTTCAGTCAGTTGACCATAATTCACATTGTCTAGCTGTTACAGCGCAGCTCACATTTGCACAGTGTCTTGAAATTATTCAAAATTTTCAAATATTACCACATTTGGCGAGACAAAAATCATTTGCACCCAATAGATTGTTGTTAGCGTTAGACTGTTCGGGTGATCTTACCAACGTTTAATAGTCAAATCATAGTCTTTGATGATAATGTATGTTTTTGTTGTTGCTGTCTGTCTGTCATCATCATCAGCAGCAGCATCACCGTCTCACCATCTTGAGTAACAAAAAAACAAGTGAAAGTTTACTCTGAACGCGCAAACCCATGAATAAAAACCATTTGCCTCACACCGGTCCCATAGATGTGAACAGACGATCTGCTTCGACCATAAGCGTTAAGCGTCGCAGCCAGTGAGAAAAGAAACCATTAACACCAAAACAACAACAAAAAAACTACCAACTGAAGAGAAAAAATTACATAATAATCGTAATG